TGACATGACACATATTTAAAGGAGAAAAGTCAAATCTCTCTCAGTACTGTGCAACTAGTGATAGCAAGTGAGATAGCATGAGTTTAACTATCTGATTAGGGAAAAATACTGAATTATTTAGGAAACCACAGCTTAATTTGAAGTAGACCATGCTAGATAAAAGTATTTTTAAGAAAGTGTTGCCAATTACACTTCAGTTACATTTTGAACATATTTGCTAGTGTGCAAGCAGCCCAGTCCTAGCCATGTTTACTCAGATAATCCACTCGGCTCAGCACAACAAACTCCATTAGTATGTAACATAGGAAGAAGATAGCATCCTATTGATTACATAGAATCAACTAACATTTTGAGAAACTCTTCATCAGGAAAAATGGTACTAAAAGACTGCATGGAGAGCCTTCTGGAGTAGTTATAGACTCATATTAAAAGGTTTTCTTTTGAACTAATCCTCTTGATTCCAGCTCATAGCACACTGGATTTTGTCAAAAGATGGGAGGATAGAATTAGGCTGTGCAAAGTTAATCTGTCTCAGGAGGCCCAAAGCAAGGATGGCCTAGCAGATGTTTTTGTCTATAACTCCTAAAAGTCTGATTCATACTAGCCAGTGGTGAGGGAAGATGAAGTTGTGGCCCTTCAGATGTTTTGACATATAAGTTTCACACTCCTGGTGTAGATGCATCAAGCAGCAAGAGAACACGTACCTCTGTTATGTATCTGTCAACCAGGAAAGAAGGAAACAGCAGAGGTTCCAAAAGAATGTGCAGTCTACATTTTGACAGTGGGGGATGATTTTGCTCAGATTGAATTTTTCTTTTTCCCTGTTGCCACATATAGAACTGGGCTTTCTCAGAGACTTTTCTGCAACATCTCTTTCCTGCTAATTACATATTATTTAAATCCCATTAGTTTATAGGTTTTTGCACATATTAGTTCTAATACTATATGCAAAAACAACCAAAGGGTTAATGAGGTACCTTCAAGAGTAACAGTTCATTATGAAAGAATTTTTTTGAGAACTACAGGTAGCTCCATCAGGTGCATGAAGTGTTACCATGTGCCCTAAATATATATACACAAAAGGGGTAGGGAGGATATGAACAAATGTTGTTCTATGTTGCCATTTCCAATTTATGGCAACCCCTATGTATGAAAGCTCTCCAAAATACCCTATCCGTGACAGCCTTGTTCAGTTCTTGTAAATTCAAGGTGGTGGCTTCCTTTATGGACAAATAAAGAAAGAAAAAACAATGACAATTAACTCACAGTGGCAAAGCAGTTCATATAACAATTGTTGCATGATAAAGACATCTTTGCATTTGTGAACTGAGTAGCGCACATTGTAATAAACAAACTTATTCAGCATTTGGTTAAGATCATCCTAAATAAGTCTGCAAATGGTTATCTTCACAGTTTGTTTCAATTTCCAATAAATTATGAATAACTTAGATAAAAGTATCCACTATTTACATTCCCCTTTGTAGTGAAAATAGTCTGTTTCAGCTTCTTGTTTTTTAACACATTACCAGTTCATAGCCCATTAACCTATGACACCTAACAAGTGCAACAGTTTGTCTTTAAAATCTTTCATTTATAGTTTATATATAAAGATAAAATCCATAATGCATTTGGAAGTCTGTGCTATTATCAACATTACAAGAATTGACCTTGTCCTTTCAACACAAAGGTGGTTAAAGAGCTTTTAAAACCAAAAATAAGACATAAGTATAGCAGAAACTACAAACAAGTGCTAAATTCTTTATTAAACTGGGCTTCCAATAGCACATGAGCATAACAGGGTTGCAAGATGCAAAGGAAATGAAACTCGAAAAATTGGATTACAGGATTTTACTAGATCGTTTGGCGAACAGAGGTGGTAAAACCTGCAATTCTCTGTTACGTAACGTTACATGTATGTATTATTTATTGGCAATCATTTTATACCCTTAACATAACAACAACTCCAAGTATTCAAGCCCTGTCTTCTTCTGTATCTGGCCACCATGTAGTGGAGAATATTAAGAAATTGCTCTGGTTTCTGTAGGCCAGAAAAGTCAGGCCCGAGGTTACTTGAAATTTCGATTGCTTGTGGTGAATTATAAAAAGAGGTAAGTGAAGGAGACCAGGATTCAACGTACGGAATGTACTAACAGAACGTCCCTCACGGCTATTCACTTCTAGAACCTCTCATTTCCCCGATCTCTATGGTATCGGGTACGATTGCCACAAGGAACACCACGTGCTCTTCAGAAGCAAATTGAAATTGAAGCCACCATAGAGTTACTAATGAGGATTAGCTCTGAGGCCCTGTTCCGCTAATATGATCTCGCTATACACACAAAGCTTTCGTTAAAAATGAGAGGAAACAGAAATTCATCACTCTATAGCGTACTGGGCCATTCCTTACTAGTCCTCATCGTTCAGACAGTGGGAGGTATACGGTCTTACCTCGCATGAGTTCGCAACACAGCTATGCCGAATACGAACAGCCTACCGCCATCTTGGTAAAGGAAAGAAGCTATCCGTGACCCACCAAGATAAGGGGGAAAACTCCTCCCCCATCGTGGCACTCCAGTATTACTATAGCAACCGAGGGAGAGGGAGGAGATATTGGATGGATTGCGCACGCGCTTTTGTTACTAGCCGCTTTGACGCTTTGCCGCGTGCAAAGAGCTGGAGGCTTTTTGTTTGGCGGAGGACGGAATGTGCTTGCCTCACGCCGTGGATGGAGGAGAGGGGGTTAAGGACGCCGAAGAGGCGCTAGTGCGCATGCGCTGCGGAATTCTGTAGCAGTTGGGCGGGTTCGACGATTGCGGCGGTTTAGTCGAGAGTTTGGGGCAGCGAGGTAAGGCGTTGCCTATGAGGAGGTTTTTTTTTTCCTGAGGTTGGGTAACCTATCGGTTGTGGTGGTTTCTTCTTGGGAAAGAGTGGAGCGGCCGAAGCCCGTTTTTCTGAGATAATTCTTGTTTTGGGCAGGACGATCCTTTCTCTTATGCTGTGTTAGGCCCTCGGCTGCTTCCTAGCCCCCTTATTGCTGAAGCAAGAGGGTATAGGCCGCAATTTGGGCCCGAAATATGGAAAAAACGGAAAGGAGAGAGTAGGCGGGAGAATGAATGGGTGGCAGCTGAAGCGATTTTGAGTCCTAAAACCTTAGCAGGACACCGGCTTCTCACTGGAGCCTTAAAAACGATAAGGAGGAGATCCTTAACATTCGAATTCGGGATGGGGCGGAACGCAAAGAGCCGTCTTACAATTTGGGGAAGGGCGTTCTAATGCGGGGGTGTGGGTGTTCAGATTATTAGCAACGATGGAGGATATTCAAAGGTTCCTCAGTCATTGCGCTTCCCCGGGCAAGTGGAGGTTGCGGGGGGGGGGGGGCGTGTTCAACAAATACTTTCGCGGTACGAGTGTTTTAAGAAAAGGAATCCCTCCCCGTTCTTTCAGATGGCTAAAGAAGGCTTTGTTATAATTTCTAAATACTCAGCACTTGGTAGATGCTCTCCCTTAGCAGAAATGAGAGGCCTTCCACCCTCATATGAGGAGAACTTGAAAAATGTCATCACAATGAAGATCCTAACAGTTGTCTGTATAATGACGATTTCCAGTTGGAGTTTTGGGAATGTGTTAGTTCTGGTGAGGAGGAGCGACATAGCGGACTTTCCCGTTCTTGGTATGAGGTGGAGGGAGGGGGTTTGAAGGCGTTCGTCCTACTAATGCATTTAGGTTGGATGCTGCATTTTCCCTCTGTAAGCTACTGGGATAAATTGGTATTTTCCTTGTGATAGCAACTCAGCATATACTGATATGGTTTATATAGTAGGGCTGTTGGAACTCAGGCCCATGGGCCAAAACTTTGCTTCATGTGGTCCGAGTCCAATCCCTTATTCCTCTCCCAGTGACTAGGTTTCCCTCCTCTAGTGCTGCCCCTTTACACCAGCTGTAAATCGCTTGGCAGTTTCCTGACTTGTGCACAGATCTTTCCCTGTATTCTAAAAGAGTGAAATGCCTCTTTTTGCATTTTGGCTGTGCCCGCTACTGAAATTTACCCCTCTAACTCCACAACTGAGCTTAACCCTCAGGCTGAGAACCCTTGGTCTGCAGCAGTTTGCTCTAGGTTTGCTGGCATCTATTGTAAAGGGGTGTCACAGTTCACTTTGCTATTTGCTTGTTCCATTCTAAATGTCCTGGTATTTCAGAAAAACTCCCTGCTTTGGGAGGCCAGGCTTTTCTGTATTCGGACTGGGAACATGTTTCCTATGATAGGGAATTTTAAAAAGGGAAAGAAAAAACTCTTCGCAGGCAACAAAGCTTCCTCTGTTTCCTCCATTATACAAAAATAGAGAGCTTCATTTGGTCAGAAGACATTGTTCTTGCTTTAAAAAAAAATGGTTTTCTGGAAAGGTCCATAGTGTTCAGGATGTGGTACCTCATTCATGTCCTTTACTTTGCCTTTTAAGTGCCTTTCATATTTTTACCTTTAATTTTAAGTACAATTACTTTGAACATTTAGTAAATTTAGAGTTACTATCTAAGGGCATGGGCTAAAGATTACATTTAACTGCTATGTGTTCTGTATTCTCCGTTCCTTTTTTGAATGGTAGAATAGTATTATCTGCTTTCAAACAAGACTTTAATTTAGCAATGCCTAACGTAAATTCGCTCTAGAAGGCCATATAGTATGATCTACATTTGAAAAACTTATATTGCAGAGGGAATCATAACGCAAGTGGCATTGAATTGTTTATTTTATCTCTTGAAATCATTGGATTAGTTCAGACTAGTGAATGGGATGATCCTGAAAGGACTGGGCTACCTTTTTTGCTAGTTAATTGCTTCAGATAAAAAGGGCAAGGTATCAACCTGGAGTGAGACTTGAGCAGAATGGGTTTACTGAATCAAGGTGGGGGGACGGGTTGTATTAAGACATCTCAAGAATAGAAATGCATTGCTATAAATTTCATGCAAACCTAGATGGTACATTTAAAATTTCTGTGCTGTAAGACCCTATGTTCAAGCTGCTGTTTATCTTGTGAGTGTGTTGTATGAACTGTGCTTTTCCCACAGTTCTTTACAGAGAAGAGTAATATGTAGATGAGTAACAATTTTAACATAGTTAAGCCTGGTAATTTTTGAAAAATAAAGTTACTGTAGCTGGAACCATAAAAATGTGTTCAACTTAATTTAAAAATAGTGTGTAAACTTTTCTTAAATGGCTTCTATCCATCCTAGATTCAAGATAAGGAAGAAGCAAATGTACTTGCTTTCTCACTGATTTGAGGCAAACCATAGTTTGCCATCTTTTGCAAGACAGCAGATAAGACAAACTATATAAATAATGAGAGCAAACCCCATTTATATAGTTGATCTTTTTCTTACCCATATCTAAAGGATAGGTATAATTTTTGAGCAGTATCCAGTACTGCCTGTAGTCTAATTGGAGTATATTGCTACTGAAATGGAAACAGTAGTTTCCAAAGGAATTGGTAATGAAAGTGGTTATTTTTTCATTTGAAGGGTTGCTTAAGCAAGCTTTTTTTTTTTTTTACTTTATTTCTATGCTATCTTTTTCCTTACACAATCCTTTCTCCATGTTATCCTTGTAACAACCTATGAAATTGGTGAGGCTTACGGTCAGTAACTGGTCCAAAGTCACCCAGTGTGCTTCATGGCGGAGTGTGGACTAGAACCTGGGTCCCCCAAGGCCTAGTCCAGCACTCTAGCCAGTAAGCTACATTGGCTTCTGGAACTGCAACATAATTAGCTGAGGCACAAAAGCAGTATTGGAGAATGCCCTATAATCCCAATACACATGCTTTTGAACTGAACTTGTATGGCCTCTGTAATGCACCATTTCCTTTGTTAGGGCAGCTTTCCTAATAAGTCCACAAAAAAACTTAGCTAGGCCTGTTGCTTGCTTAGCAGTGTTCAGTCATTTGTGACCTAACAGGAAGCAACCCCTCTTGTTTGTTGCATAGAACAATTTTTACTGACCACAGACAAAAACCAGTGGTTGGTTAACAAGCCTTTTCTTAAAACAAGGAAACAAGCAAGCACAATGTAAAACGCCTGGTATTGCTCTATGCCATAATTGCCAATTGATTATTGCTACTCAGAGGACTTTCACCACTTGATATACTGCTTGAAGTTTGAAGAATTTTCATGGAAGTGAGCTCCAAAGTAGGAGGTATCTTTACTGTTCAGATATGCTCCCATCCTTATGTACATCTTTCTGGTTGTCCTACAACAGATCTGACCATTCATAATAATATGGTACCCTTCATTATACTCATTCAAATAGCACTGCTTTTCCATGTCCCAGTATTCATGCTCATCTCACAAAGTATGGCAGCCTGAGTCAAGGCATGTCTACTCAGAAGTAAGTTCTTTTGAGTTTGGAAGAACTTGCTTTTTGGTAAACGTGCGCGAACTGCAACCTGAGTGTGCTAGTGTTCTGTTGCAGAAAAATAATTGCTTTGAAGATCATGTTTGCCTTTTACTGAAGTAAGTATTCTAGAAGGTAATACTCTGATTTTTTTAACAGATTGAACCTGCATAAAGATGTCCAAGGTAAGGTGTGTCTTTGACTAAATTAATGATTAGAATAAATAATATCTATTCTGAGGGAAAATGCTTACAGAATTCTGAAAGAAGTAAATTTTGGCACTTCTTAATAAGCAGTTATGCAGGTAAACCATCTTGTAAAACTAATTTTCATTTGTGGCTTAATTGTCTTCTCTCCACATCTGCTTTTATTTTATGAGTACTATGGCTTGTCTTTAATTGCATAGGTTAGGCAAGAAATAAATGCAAATTTTTGGGAAAAAGTTAGTGAAAAATGCCAGTTCAAAGCACATGTGCTGCTTGTTTTTTCTTGTATTAGTTTTTTAGGTAACAAATGTAGTCAGAACTTATTTGATGTTAGCCCTCAGGCAAGTAGTTAAAATTCATAGTAGGGAGGTTAAAAAGAGTCAAGGTCCTAATCAGTATTATGGGATTAATAACTTTTTAAAAACCCCTCCAAGCTTTATGATTCTGTGGATATCTTGCTAAAATTAGGCTGACATCATGGTCTGTACCTTGTTAAGTTCAAATGAATATCAAAAGAATTTGCCCTCCCCCCCCCGCCCCTACCATCCCATTTTTTTTTACTATGTGCCTTCCTATTTAAACCCTCTTTACATCTAAACTATGTAGTGAAGTATTTCAGTCATACTATCACTTCTGAAATTTTTTTCTATTCAAACCTCTTCTGTATTTTTTAAATAACCAATTCTAAAACAATTTATAGTGCTTCATTCTTCAAGTAGCATTATAAAATCATTTTGGGTTCAACTGTTATAAAGGAATCTGAAATTTCAACCATATAATAGCTTAATTCTGTGTATGTTTAGACAGATTCTCCATGTTGGGTGGAAAAGGCTGAGTTGTAGAAGTTTTGTCTGTCTAAAACATGTATAGGATTGCACTCTAAATAAATTAGTAACTGGGTAGATACAACAAGTGTAAAAAATCTGGATGACCTTTCATTTTATTATAGTTTCTAGAGAATAGGAGTAATGTCCAGTTGGTACTAGCACTAATCTAAATTGCCCTGCACTCCATTTTTATCTGCACAACAATCTTTTGTGGTAGGTTAGGCTGAGGCTTAATGACTTGACCCACAGTTGCCCAGTAAGTTTCATGGCTGAGTGAGAACTGGAGTGCAGATCTTCCAGGTTCCCAATTCTAACCCTCACACTGACTCTCAAAATATAAATTCTGTTGCTGTAATGCCTCTAGAACAATGCTTGTATTGTTAGGTAGCACAGTGGGATACCCTTTAAAGCCTGTCACACTAGCTAATGTTCTTGCTATTCAACTAGAGGTGCTTTATGTGAGCATGATGTAATTTGCATGAATGCTTGTGTCTGATTGGGTACATTGTCAGAAAACTAATAAAATTTCTCCTCATTAAGGCAATATGGTCATAATACAATATAATGCAGCAGCATCTGTTACTGGAAAAAGGCAGCTAGTGAATATTAAGTGATATATTTAGTTTTTTGAGGAAAATCTGATTTATGTTTATCATGTAACAGTAACTATGTCAAAGGCATGCTCCTGATCAAACATGTAATGCTAAATTGCTTTAAATCAGTTATGAATATAACAACAACCACTTTGAGGTTGCAGTGACAGAGTTATTCAATGCATGGTGGAGCCAGGGAAAGGAACATTAGAAGGATGGGTGGAGAGTGGAATAGGATGTAAGTGGCTATTCTTCGAACAAGTTTTTCCAGTGCTGGTTTGAGAAATGTTAATACATATGTTAACAACATTATGTAAATGTATCCTCTCTTCTTTTTTTTCCCAGCAACAGTCTGCTGAGAAGTTTACAAATCCAGAAACTCCTGGTTATGTTGGATTTGCAAACCTTCCTAACCAGGTTCATCGGAAGTCTGTGAAAAAAGGCTTTGAGTTCACTCTTATGGTCGTTGGTAAAATAATTTTGTTGTTTTTTTTTAAACATAGATGTTGATAAAAATGATTCATACCTGTCTTGAGGGTGCCATATAGATATTATAACTGAATATATATGGATTTATGGGAGTGTCTGTAGCCCAGTACTGCACTGCATAAACCAATTCTGTTCTTTAGTGTAAGGCAGTTTCATATACTTCATAAAGCTGAAAAAAGAAAGTTTGAAAACATATTACAAGGTATCTGTGATATTTGGGCCTCAAACTTTGTGACATTGGTATATACTATCCCTTCATGCGTCTTGGTCATAGGTGCCTGTACCATAAAGCTGGGTTATTTTGTCAGTATGACTGCAAAGTTGTAGTCAGACTTTCAAAGGACTCCAGTGTTAGCTGCAAACTGTCCTAGATGCTTTTGCTCTGCGAATTCCTAGTGCTCTTTTTTTGGTACATTATAGTTGCCATTATTTTGAGTGATTCATACATGTTGTCATACCCAGGGAAAGTTAGCTCATACTACTAGCTGAGCAGCTTTCTCTACCATCATTCATTAGTATGGCAGTGTCACAATTCAGCGGAGATAGTAGTTATAGTCACTGTACCAACTTGTATCAACAGGCATTTAAGGTAAAATTAGGGAAGTGTCTGAGTTGGTAATCCATTCAGTTTGCTAAAACCTGGTCCCCTCTAGATGTTTTTAATTATAACTTTCATAGTCATTGTCCATGCTAGCTGGGTCTTATAAGAGTTTTAGTCCAAAATATTTGGAAGGCATTGTGTTGTCTACCCCACTTCCTCTAAATCCACTCAAAAAAACCAAATGGTTCATGCAAGAACTGAGATTAAAATGATGTAATGCGAAACTTATAGGTTCACTCTGTGGTATTTCCTTTTATATGGGTGTTGTTGCCCAAAGGCTTGTAAAGGCTATTATAAGGATGTGGACTTGCAATACAAATTGAATCTGTTTAAGTGTCTGAAGTAAGCCAGAATGCTTATTCTCTAAAACAATGGTGCTCTCTATTCCAAGCTCCTCTGCAGTTAAATGCACACTTTATCCTATGTTTACTTGCTTAAATATAACATACCTAATGGTATTTCTGCCATTGGTAACAAATGTAATCCACAAATATTCTGACTTCAACAGCATAGTTTTAGTACCATCCTTTGGAATCTGTTTTTCTACTCATCAACCTTACCTTGGACTGTTTGGCCACCAGGTGCCATTTATTGTTGTGTCATTCATTATATTTGGTGGAAATGTTCACTGGAACTATTAGCATGTTCTCACTAGGTAAATAAGAAAAGCACCTACTGTAGAGTTCATTGTCATCATTGTGTTAAAGATTTAAACAATTAAATATGCTAGCCTTTAATATTGTGACTAAGTTTCCAAGTAAATAATGTTTTTACTACAAAATTTGTAGGATTTATTTTCAACATCATTTTTTTCCTATTTCCCAGATGGCAAATATTATGACACATGTATATAGGTAGCATTCAGTACAGTAGGTTGTACTTCTCTCCTTCTCTCTCATGTTGGGTATGTTTATAATGTTGCCTGTTCAAAAATTAAGGCTGCATCTCTTGACTATGCCCTACTGAACTAAGGCAAAAGGATAGTTCTTCTGAGTAGATATGTATTATTGCGCAGTGAGACATTTAATAGTTTCGAGGCAACAGTCCTATGTTTATCTGGAAGTAAGCCACACTAAGTAAAATGGATATTGGTTTTGAATAAACCTGCATAGGATATGAAGGCCACATCAGAAAGCATTTCATTCTTTAACATCAGCAATGAATGCTGGGAAATTTGAATAGTTTGGGGCACCAGGAGAGCTCCATTTTTGCATTACATGTGAAAATAGGTTGCTATACTTGATTCATGTAATCTGTAACAGAATTTTACAGAGTGCAGTAACTTGTACAAGGTTGGCAAGACTGAGCTTCAGAATCCTTTCATATAAATACATTGTTTAGCTTTCTGGTTATAGTTGAGGGTTGTTTAAAAAGGAAAAAAAATAATAGTTATACAGTTCTTAATGGCATTTAAAAGATGTGCTTTCTAAGCATGAATGAAATGAACTGTTGGGAACCTACATAATTCTAAATATAATTGCAGGCATCATGGTACAGCCATTTTTAGCCCATGAATGAATATCTGAAAAATAGTTCAGTGGGTTTTGCATATGTAAAAGTTTGATTTTTTTTTCCACATCCATTCATAGGTGAATCTGGATTGGGAAAATCTACACTAATAAACAGTCTGTTCTTAACAGATCTCTATCCGGAGCGGATAATCCCAGGAGCAGCTGGTAAATACAAGCTTTTGATATCTTTTTATCCTTTAGCTTCTTTTTAGATCTAATGAACACTTGCATAGAGAACTTGTTGGAGAATAACAGTTGGAGCTTTTAGCAATGGATGCTTCATTTTTGATTAAATATTTATTTTCCTTACTTAATGGTCACAAACGTGTAAGGTATCTCTGTACACCAGGGAAGAATGACTGAATCCCGATTTCCATTACCACCACTTTGGACCTCGACAGAGGCTACCTTTCTACTGCTGCCAATTAGTTTGCTGCCAGATTTCAGCAATTTCTGCTGGGAAAGACCAACTCAGTTCAAACCTAAAGATAGCGATTTTCAGTTTCCACTGTATTTCAGCTCAGAAATTCAGAGGCAGATCAGCAGCTGCTTTGCTGCTGCCACATCACTAAATTTCAGTGTTCTGGGCATGACAGATGCATGGAAAGCCAAGGGCACATGTAGCTTACTGGCTGTATGTTGTGCACCCTTACTGTAAACTCCTACACATTTGAAAACTGGCTCATGGAAACCACTTTCTCCATGTTAGTTTGTTTGTTTATTTATTAAAACATTTTTATGCCGCCCCATTTGCCGGAGCCTCGGGGCGACTTACAACATTAAGTTAAAAACAATACAAACATTAAATTACACCATTAAATTAAAAGGTTTGTAAAATACAAACATTAAGTTAAAATGCAAAAAATAACAATATAAAATAATAAGTCACCCTGGCCAGATAAAATCCAATAATATTAACAATTAAAATGCCGCTTAAATAAAAAGGTCTTCACCTGGCACCGAAAATCAAATAACGACGGCGCCAGGCGGACCTCTCTGAGGAGTGCATTCCATAAATTAGGTGCCACCGCAGAGAAAGCCCTCCTCCGAGTACCCACCCTCCTGATTTCTTTCACGGAGGGTTCCTGGAGAAGGGCCTCTCCCGCAGATCTCAAGGGGCGGGCGGGCATATATGGATGTAAGCGCTCCTTCAGGTAACCAGGACCCAAGCCGTTTAGATCTTTATAGGTCATCACCAACACCTTGAATTGGGCCCGGACTTCAATGGGAAGCCAGTGAAGCTGACGGAGAACTGGAGTCATGTGAACATAACGCCCAGTCTCCGTCAGCAGCCTGGCAGCTCTATTTTGAACCAATTGAAGTATCCGGACCGTCTTCAAGGGTAGCCCCACGTAGAGTGCGTTACAGAAGTCAAGACGGGAAGTCACCAGTACGTGTGTCACTGTCGCGAGGCAGTCGTACTCCAGGTAGGGGCGCAGCTGATGAATCAGCCGAAGCTGAAGGAAAGCGCTCCTCGCCACTGCTGTTACCTGAGCTTCCAGTGAAAGCTCCGGGTCAAGGAGCACTCCCAGGCTGCGGACCTTGTCCCTAAGAGGGAGTGCAGCCCCATTCAGGACTAGGCTCAATTCACCCTCTCCGAAGCCAGATCCGCCAACCAACAGGACCTCCGTTTTGTCTGGATTGAGCTTCAGTTTATTGGCCCTCATCCAGCCCATTACCTCGGTCAGGCACCGGTTCAGCACAGCCACTGCCTCACCTGGATTGGTGGAAAACGAGAGGTAGAGCTGGGTATCATCAGCGTACTGATGATTCCGCAGCCCACACCTCCTGATGACCCCTCCCAGAGGTTTCATGTAGATGTTGCAAAGGGGACAAAATGGACCCCTGCGGTACTCCATGGCATAGCTGCCATGGTGCAGAGCCATAGTCCCCC